TATATATATATATATATATATATATATATATATATATATATATATATTTCTTAATTTCTTTTTCTTTGCAGGATGGCTCATATTCTCAAAAGTATTACGACCAAAATGATCTGAGGCATCATCTAAGTTCAAGGTAATGCAGTGACTGTTATCAGTTTTTCTACCTTCTCAATTGCTGCCTACTCAAGTGTCTGGTGCCACCTACTCTCTGACCATTTTTTTTTTCCTATTTGGCATGAATCGTGAATCTGTCACATGACTGATTTTAGTCGCTCTAGCGCACGTGTCAAGGCTCTCGCATACTCGAGCGTACTTCAGCTCGCGGAGGTGCACGCATACCGGATTAGACTCAGAGCGAACAACCTCAAGGCATGTCCGCACAAAGTTCAATTTTTATGACCGTGTATGTGTACTCTGTCACATAATAAACTGCCCGGCGATGGACTGTTTTGTATGCGACACCATTGTATTAAATTCCCTTTCTTCATCCCTGGTCTGGTTTAATGGCCTTTTTCTTTTGTTTTTTTTGCCAAGAGGCAAATGATCTCTTCCTCCTCGTCAGTTGACACCATTACTGAAATTGTGAAAAATTAAGGAATTTGTCACAAGAAATTAAAATCAGGCCCGGCGTGGCTGCAGGAGGGTCTGGACATTTCCTGGTGGGTCGGTTTGATGTGTGGGCTGCAGCGCCAGCACTCCAGGTTTTTTATTGTTTTGTTTTGTTTTTAACAACTTTTTATTAACAACATATAAACACAGAACACTGCTGCAGCTGGGGCTGCCAGCTTTTTTTTTTTTTTTTTTTTTGCCACCTGTCAATCAGTCCAGTAGGCGTGTCAGCAACTGACCAATCATCGACCTCAATTTGTCCCGAAGGTAAACGCCCCTTTCCTGTGGAGCTGACTGAAGCCCATCAGGGTGTACGCTCGAGTATGAAGTGTCAACCGTCTACGGACAGCGCACACAATGTCTGCACGGCTCACAGTCCGCCCAAGTCTATAGGAGCCTTCATTCTCAAGGCCCGCGGGCCAGAAGTGGCCCGCCACGTCATTTTATTTGGCCCACAAGAGCTTAAAAGGTCTGTCATTATATTACGGGGCTGTTTACACGATGCATATTTTGAGTGAAACTGTGCCTTTCTCTCTGTGTGTGGTTCAGCTGCTTAATTACACAACACCAGGTTCCCTCCCCCACTCGCTGAATCCAGAGGTTTTTCAACCCAGAGTGGAGGTTTTCTGTTGGACCGCCTGCAGAGGGTTGTCAAAAGTCCCGCAGAGGTGTTAACGCACATGCACACTACAGGCCTATTTCATGCATCTGTGGACCAACAGTAGTTCAATGTATTAGTGTTTTGGTTGGTCAGTTTTAGTGTGTCTGAGTCAAAACGAGATGATTTTTGAACGTGAGGAGGAGTTGTGGACCCAGAGGAGAACGGGACCCCAGAATCAGAACCTCTCAGACAGAGGAGAGGATCATGAAGGAGAAACACAGTCCGAGTCAGACAGAGAGGACTTTGTCGATGGAAAAGAGGAAGAGCAGACCGAGCCCTACTAGGAGGTCTGACTCTACAGAGGAGATGGTCCAGAACCCCTCTGACTGGGCCAACAGAACCGAGCTCTGGAGAACAGAGGAAGATGTGGATGTTGACCCACTGTTGGCGTACTTATGGAGGGAAATACACTTTTTAATTACCGTAAAAAATATATTTTCTCAATAAAAAAAAAAAAAACAGAAATGTGGAGTTTTTTTTTTTTTTTTTTTTCACAAAACACCCTAAAAAATCATTTAAACTGGATATTTTTATTTCAGGCTGCAACAGCTCTAAAAGACTAACTACTTTTTTGTGGAAGAAATATTTAAAACTAGTATTTTGAAGCAGTTAAATAAGGTGATTTTCAATTCAGTTTATTTATAAAGCACCAAATCACAACAAAGTTGTCTCAGGGCACTTTACAGAAACATTCACATACATAGAAGCCAATTAGTAAAGTTCTCTATCTAAGGAATCCAGCAGACAAGTTGAATCTTGGCTTCGTTGCAGTCTCCCATCCTGAGCAAGCACAGTGGCAACAGTGGAAAGAAAAAACTCACTTTTAACAGGAAGAAACCTCCAGCAGAACCAGGCTCAGGACAAGCAGCCATCTGCTTTGACTGGCTGGTTGAGAGGACAGGAAGGAGAGACAGATGAACATAGAATGATATGTCCAGGTGTCTCTGAAAGACAAAAAACACATGTTAAGATAGAAAAAATAATTACAAATACAAAACATGTTGAGCAGAGTAAGTAAAGACAGTAGCAGAGTGAAAATTGTGGTCAGTTTGTCCTCCAGCAGTCTAAGCCTATAGCAGCATAACTAAGGGACAGCTCAGGAAACCCAAGCCGACCATAACTATACCGAGGAACATGAAGTCATAAAGTTAAAGGGTTAAAACCATCTTATTCAAATGTTCATAATATGATGCTTGTGATGTCGCTCACATTCGATGATCTTGTCTGTAGTTAGAGAAAATAAAGTGAAGTTTTTGAGCTACATGCATTCAGCTGGGACTGCTGCAAGATAACGAGTAGAGATTAAATCATTGTCAAATAATTATTAAATTCTTGAAAATGTATCTCGCTCTACAAATTGATTGACAGCTGCTGCTTATTGTGACATAATAACTCCTCATGCCTGTGGTGCTAGTAAGACATTTTCAACAGTCTGCGTTCACCAGCATTTTCACCAAACAAAACGTGTTGATGTTGGGAGTGACTCCAGCCTCCTACTCTGAGCCGTTAGCCTCCTACTCAACTTATCATTAACTTTTATTTAACCAGACAAATCCCATTGAGATCACAGATCTATTTTACAAGGGAGGCCTGGGCCTGAAGCAGCCTAACATGCATGTGTTTAGACTGAGAAGAAACCGACACACAGAAGTCATTGTGGTGTAATTTACCAAACTGACCACTAGATGGCAGAAGAGTTCTTTTAAAGGTCTGATCAGCTTCAAAAACCTCGGGGTGTGTGCTTTTTCCATGTATGCTTGTAAATAAGAAGCTACCTAAATATATTTTCAAGTTTTATTTTGATATTCACCTGAGAGCAAAGAATGTAACAAACACTGGCCACTTTTCATGTTTAGTAAAGAAAACCACAAAAAAAATTATATTTTACCTAATAATAAAAATAAGCAATTTAAAATGAAAGCCTCCTTCTGTGTGGTCAAATCCAGCCGTTATAACAGCTAAATCAACACTCTTAATTTTTTGCTTGCTGCTTTTACACACCAGCATCTTTTGAGCTCGGGCTCCTCTTTCCATGAGGCAAAGGAGTGGGACAAAGGCCACTAGTGTCTATTCACTTAGCCAGACCCCCCCCATCCTGAGCCCTCACTCCACTCTGAGAGGAAAAACAGCTGGACCACTCCCTGTTTCAGTCAAACATCCACTTGCACATCTCTAATGCTCTGAACCGATTAAAGCTTCTGTTGTAATATGACATCAATCAAGTTTCAAACAAACTGTGAAATATCCAGCTATTTTCAGTCAGGTCATCTGGACAGTTTATTTTTTTGCTGAAACGTTTCACCTTCCATCCAGAAGGCTTCATCAGTCAAGGAAACACACAACACAAAACTGATTCTTCCCACAAACTGCTTACTCCAAAGTGGAACAAACCAGTTGTGTTGGTGCTAAGATGGTGTCTTAGGCACGCCTCTTCCTCGTCGACACTCATGTTAAACTGGTTCAAAACCTAAAAAACTTTGAAATATATCTTCTTCCATTAATTTAGCTCATTTTGACCTGGGTTTGTTAAACCAGATAGTGTCTACCTTCTGTAGATCTGAGGACAGTGTTTTTGATTTTTCCTAAACTAATTCCAAACTGTTAATTGTGGATGCAACAGATAATTGTGATTACTATCATGTTTCTGAATGACCTGATCCTCTTTCCCCCACTCCACATGTCAAATATAAGTCTGTCAAAGTAGAAAGCTGTTCTGCAGCTTTGGTGCAGCTGCAGCGAAGGATCAGTGTACGGGGTGGGCAACATTGATTTCTGAGGGCCAAATCAAGATATTAGAGCAGTCAGAGGGCCACATAGAGTTGAAACATAATTTTTCCTCAAAGCAGATAATCTGGAAGACTTTCTCTAGAGTTTTCTTGTAGCATTGTTAGCATGTTTGATGAAAGTATGTCTCTCTAGTAATCTTTAGGATTACATGACTTGTTTTCTGTAAACTGGCTCTGGTGTAATATATGTTTTAGCTTAAATATGCAAAATTAAAAACAACTTGTATATTTGCCTTTTGGAGTCTTTAAGGATCCGTCAAGTTCTGGAAACACGACGACTTAAAATAAGTTTCCACCTTTCTCAATCCAAATGATCCTTTTGTATTTGTCCAAGATGTTTGATTTAGACTTTCTCAAGTTCTATTAATAGAGTAAATAATAATAAAAGCAAACTTCGTCAACTTATTTAAAAGTTGTTCACTTTTTTATTAAGAGTAAAGGGGGCCAGATGGAGATTGTCCAGTGGCCACTTTTGGCCCTCGAGCCACAAGTTGTCCACATCTGGAGCAAATAACTTTCAAAAGCAACTGTTCAGATGATCTCAGACAGCGGACACTAGATTGAGATTATAAACTAAATCTAGCCTCTATGGGGTCACTTCTGTAGGCGGGGGTAAAACCCAGAGTTTATTGAAGGAGGGCAACAATGGAAAAAATGGAAATTAGCCAATTTAAACCATTTTGTAATGTTTTTTTCTACCAATTTATATAAATTATAAACAGAGTCCTCCAGTTTATTTGTTTATCTTCTTCACTTTAAAGATGTTTTATGTCCTGTTGGTTCCTCTTTAAATGAAGACAAAAAGGTTATTTATTTTTTATTAATAAATTGCTGCTTGCTGTGCTTGAATTTGAGCATTAATGTTGTCAAACACAAACTCCTAACTCTGCCAACAACTTTTTCTTCATTTGTTTTAAATTATATTTTAAAATTGTTATATTTTAAATATTATTTTATTTTGTTATCATTTCTGCTTGGTGACTCAGGCAAAGTCAAAACCAAAACCTTCATTAAAAAAGCAAGAACAAGGCCAATTGTTTTAGTTAACCCTAAAATAAAGGAGCACAACAAATATCATACATGTGACCGGATTGAAATAATAATTTATAGTTTAACACAGCTCTAGCTTTGAAACGTTTATGAAACAGAATGAGCTTGACAGCTTTCAGGCTTATTTACAAGCATTGATAATAATAATATATATAATTATAATATGTTTCTTGTTTCAAAGCCAGCCTCCGCAGAGACAGCTCAGAAAAAGTTTGGCCTCTGAACTAGGCCTGTCCCAATAAACAACAAATCAATTAATCGCATGATACATTGAAGTGAGGTCGATAATTTTCATTTATTGGCTTTTTTTTTTCTTGGTGTCTCTCTTTCTATTGAAGACCCTGGATGACAAAAGACTCGACTCTGGTGCTCTTCACTGACCGCTCCCTTTTTCATTTCCTTAGCATAAGGGTGGAGTGAACTGTCGCTCCAGGTAGCCAGCCAAGGTGCATCGTCTTGAACCTCTGCAGATATTGGGGAGGGGGAACGAAATGGAGTTGGTTTCAAAGTCGAACGCAACAGCAGCAGTGTGGGAGCATTTCGGATTCAAACCAAATGACCGAGCTGCTATGTCACATTTGTCATAAAACAGTAGCAACTAAGAGCAGCAATACAACCAACTTGCACCTGCACCTAAAGCACAAGCATCCAAAGCAGAGAGATCCTGCCTGAAGCCACACAAGCTCAGCATGTTGGTATTTCTCGTCAGACTGAAGTAGCTACAGGTCTGCTTATGGACTGTTGAGGCGTGTGCTCTTAGTTAAATGGAGTGTGCTTTTGTTAATTTGCACTTTTTGTTAAGAACTGGCAGTTTTGCCTGTCCTCTCTATAAAACTAATGATTATTATTTTTTCAAGGGCAGTTTAGTTTACAGTCTTCATAATCCGTACTGTTTTGGTTGAATGTGCTTTTTATTTCCATTTCGTTTTGTTGTTGTATTTAATTTTTATTCAAGTGTATATTTGTTAACAGAGACTGAGAGTTCATTTTAGTTTTGTTTTTGATTGTTTTATTTCCCAGTTCCAGCGTTGTGTTCTTTTGAAATTAAAGTTTATTGGTCTTCGAGATGATGTTCTTGCATTATTATGTCATTATCGTACATTAGTTTAAAACGGTCTCCAAACAATATTATCGTTTATTACAATAATTTCTGGGACAATTAATTGCCCCAAAAAAATGTTATTGTGACAGGCCTACTCTGAACAGAATTTTAGTGACTTCTGATGCAATTAATATAAAATTAGAATGATAGAGAATCCCATATGTTTAAGGTAATTAACAATATTTGGTTATTTCTGCTTTTATATTATTTTATTATTTACAAAATTGTCCTTTTTGTCTTTTTTTCTTCTTCTCAGAAACAGGAACAGAGGACATCATCCCCGACAGAGAGGTCGAGGTTTAGGCCCTCCGAGGTTAGTTTGAGTCTTTCACTGTTTGTGGCGTTCAGGGTCTGAAGACGTTCTGCGTTCCCTCCGAGTCGTTGCTACGGCTAGCTGTTACTGGGAAGGTTCACCACTGTTCAGTAGTTTCTCCATTTGTGGATGATGGCTCTATTTACATGATGTCTTGATTCTACAGCTCATGCAGACAGAAAATTACAAGTTTTTTAAATTAATTTTTAAATTTCATTACCTGTTATAACTACCTCCAGCTGTCTTGTAGGAAAGCAACAGAAGACGTGAGAAAAGTCTGACATGCATTTGTGTTTGGTAGCAAATGTAATATCAGTCATTATTAATGAAAATATTCAAGTCATGTTATAAGTCACCATCTTATCACCATCAAACTGGTTGACCCACTATATGAGTGTTCTGCTTGTGGGACTGGGCTTGTTGCGGCTCCTCAGACTGATGAAGTCCTTTGGATGAAAGACGAAACGTTTCAACAGAAAGTAACCATCCAGAGGACCTGACTTAACTCTGTCGGAGTTTTTACCTGGATTATTGAGCTTTGAACTTTGATGTTTTGAAGCGAGATATGTTCATCTGAATGAGCTGAAATGTTTGTTTTATTTAACCTTAATTTATAGAAATAGTCTCATTGAGTCACGAGGACTCGTTTTCAAGAGAGACCAGTTTTATATGGCCAACATACTATATAAATAAATGAATGAAATGCTTTTATCCTGAGTTTGAACACATCAAATATTGCCTATACAGTAGTTCCTCGCTACTTCGCGTTTTGTTTATTGCAGACTCGCTCTATCGCAGATTTCAAAATAAGATTGGACATGACACGCAATTGGCTGACCTGCCGATTTTGATTTTGGCCGATACCGATTTTGTTTTATAAGAGACACCGTCAGGTGTTATAAGGTCAAAATGCAATTTTCCAATCTTGTTTGATTGAAAAACATACCCTTGAACAATATCTTAGAAACAATACAAACTTGTTTTAACTGGCCATGAGGTAGTGCTCTGAAATATAAATGAAGTTCAGCCAATTGTTAAAACTAAAAAAAGCAGTCAAGTCGGTTTCTCATGCAAATATCGGCCGATTTCCCAAAATTAAGGAAATTGGGGCCGATAAATCGGTGCACCTCATGAGAAACATTGTTTAGAATATTGCAAGAGTGTGGGGAGGATTTAAAATAGGGACGCACCGATCCACTTTTTTTTCTCCTCCGATCCTGATACCTAAATCTGTATATCGGCCGGTACCGATGATATTCCGATATTTTTATCATCATTGATTTTATATGAGGCTGTAATAATCTCCTCTCAAGTACAATTAGTACAAATATATGCATGTATGTTCAAAAAGGCAACTTGAAGTAAGTTTTATTAATGTTGGATAAGTTTCAAAGTTAGAATTAAATTCTGCTAACACAAAACAGGTTTCTTTTTATTCCTAGCTTGAAATTAAAGTGATTAATTTAAGTGATAGTTTGTTTAGTTTTTTTATTTATTTATTTATTTTTTAAATAAGGGGCAGATTTAAGAATTTTTTTTTTCTTTCTGCACTCTTTTCATTCAGTGTTTTCTTTTTGATGAATTTGTTTTGTTTATTTTGTTTCTTTTAAATGAATGAATAAATGAATTAAATAAAATAAAATGTTAAATGGCTTTAAACATCTGCAAAGTTCATGGCATAAACCAACAGACATGTTCCTGTTTTTAGTATTTTACATCACATTATAATGTAGCTG